GGGACGTCGACAGGGTGTCGAACAGAGTCGGCGGCCAATGCAGGCTGAGGTCTCGTAATGGAAACAGCAGACATCCGACGCACTGAGGAGATCTCAATGTCGTCTTCGGGCCTCTTCTCGAAAACTGAAGAAGTGCTGGATCCAGACGATGAAATGGGTGAAATGGAATCGTCCTTGTAGGCCAGTGTTCCACCGACGTCGTTGAGAGTCAACGCGCCGAAAGAAGCGTCGCCAATGAAAGACTTCTCGTTGTAAGATGAAGTCATGTTGTCGAACGAATCGAGAGAATCGCGCGTTCGAGTCGTCTCCTTGCGAATGAAGACAGGTAAATTGCCGCCACGTCCGTTGGTGCTGTTCGGCTTCCACTGAGATCTGGAGAGCAAAGTTAGATCGGAATAGAACCGAAAGAAAGCGGAAGAGACGAACCCATTGGAACTCGAGTTGAATGTCGAGGTCGTCGCTGTGGTGTAACCAACACGCTTGGCGACGCTGGTGAACATCGCACGGTAATTCTTTCTCGCTTCGTCGGCGAATCCGAAGAAGGCGAAGAAGACAAGGGCACAAAGAATGAAGAACCAGCGGCTTATCTCAAGTCCAGGACCAGAGTGGGGGACATTCTGCCAGATAATAGCCGGGAATTGGTGGACAGCAGAGTAGCCCCAGTGGGTATCGGCCCAGCCTTTCCATGGGCTGACGCCGCTCTGAATGTTGTTGACCATAGCCCAAGTCGCGAGAGGCACAGTGAAAAGAGCGTCGATACCGGCAAGACACATGAGACGGAAGTATCTGTTCGAGTTGAGATTGTTGGTCGACGACAAGAGCTCGTTGAATTGAGCCCGACGCTTGGAGAATGCTCGGATGCTCATAACTAGAAGTCTGTCAGATATTAAAAACCAACCAACGAGAAAAGACGTACAACAGTAGACCGCCGAAACCAGACCGATGACGATGGGCCAGATGATAACAACAGGGTAAGCGACCGGGGTATTGTAAGTCGCTGGGTAGCATCCAAAGTCCTCGTAAATATCGAAACGATGTCCTGCAACGGTATATTCTGGAGAAAAACGTTGAAAAGTAACTCGAAAAGCATAATGGATCAACGTACGAAGGATCATCTGGATAATTGGGATTCCAACACCGATGGCCAAGTCGACCATAACAGCACGACGCTTCTCGGCTTTGCTGACAGTGACAGCATTCGCGCTCGAGATTTTGTAGAGACGACGATTGATGCAGAGGGAAGCGCACGGAATAGCGACCGTAACTCCGACGAGGAATCGGGAAGCTGTCATCGTCAGGGTCGATGCCACAAAGGAAGAAGAAAAAGACCCACAGATGTCGCACCATACAGGAGCCCAGTTAATCGCATTTCCATTCCAAATGACCGAGTTGATAAACATGTTGAGGCAGCCCAATCCTGTCCATATCATGTAGAGGCATGTTCCGGTATTCCAGGCTGTGATTAGACCGCTCAGTCAGAAATGTGGCAAGAAAAGAAAAGAAAAAAAGCGGACCTTCTAAATGCCAACGGAGGGGAATCATGCAGAGGACGAAGCAGATGAAGGAGATTACTGAGAACAGCCAGTTCGGAGGGTAACCAGTTATCGCTATCATGGTGCTTGTAGAGGTGGAAGAGGTGTCGACGGAGGAAGAATGGTCAGTAAACCGGGTTTCGCTCCAGCTTTAAGAGCAAATATTTGCATTTCCCTCCTTGTGCATCTTTTAGGTCGTCCCCTTGTATTCAGCTGGTGAACCCACCTGAATGGAATGTCCGCATTTGGAGACTAACTTGAGACTTCCTAAAATGGATATCCCAGTTTGGACGCGAGTTTGTTTGTGACGGATCGGGGTGGTCATCCGGTCACAAATACTGCTAGGATTCCCGCCGAATGTCGCCGAATGTCTAGAAACTTGTGATGGGTGCGCTACTACGGCCTGCAGAAGGACTTGCTAGAAAAAGTTGCAGCATCGTGGGCGTAGGTTGTCCAGTATTTGGTGACCTTGCCGAAGATGGCCGAGGGAAAAAATACCTTGCGTAGCGATGGAAAGATAAGAACAAGGAAATGGACAAGTCGAGGACAAGGCGAGAAATGCAGAATCCGGGAGACCGTGGCTCTCGATGTGGCGAGAACATCCCGTGGCAAGACGACCTTGTTCCAAAGCGAGGCACTAGATACAAAGTTCAACGTTCAACCGCGATTGCCCCTGGCGACGAATGGAATGGAAAAACTGGAACAAAGAGAGCTGTAGAAGAAAAATACAAGCCATATCCTTGTCCAGAGAAGGAAACTCCTTTGGATCGGTGGCTTCTGATCTTGAGCGCAACATGGAGCCTCGGCGGGAAGGGATTGGGCTCAGCGCTCAACGAGAAGGAGGAATAGGGAGGAATAGCATTGAAAGACTATCATGCTGGAGGGAAGGAGTAATATCACTAGCCTTTGAATGAGCGTCGTTTTGTATGTCTGACGATAGCCGACCTTATTGTCTTTGGATCCATTGTTCCGATCACGTGAAGCCATCAAACCATTGTTCTCAGGAGCCAATCAGAGTCGACGAGTTGTAAGATAGATATGCTACAGCGAAAAGGTCTATGCATACGATTACATGAAAGATAAGTATTGAGAAACATGAATCCTAAAGAGAGACAGGTATGGAATCGAAGGAGAACGAAAGAAGGAAATCAGTCGTGAACGAATCAAAACGTAAATGGCCTATGCAACGGTTTCTTGAATAACTGTCATATATATCGTGTCACTTGGCGGAGTTCGAACACTCCAGTTGCGAATGTTCGAAGACTTTGTCCTCAGTGGCGCAGTCGTCGAGACTACAGAACCCTCAAAAGGGACAACATGTGGCGGCGTTACAGAGCGATAAAGTGAATATCGAGAAGAAGAGCCGGAAGAAACAGAAGACGGAGGCTCTGGCCAAGAAGCATTCATTATCGATGATATCGTCGACTTGGCGTCTTCAGGGATAGACTGGCGGCAGCGAGACGGAAAGGTGATGTCGATTGGTGTAGCGCTCTCCACGAGGATCTGAGGTTCTGAAACCATAATGGGCGTGATGGGAGAGCGAAGACCGAGAGACTTTGCGACTGGAGAGCCGATATAAGTCAAGGTAGAAGCAATGAATGTGGCGTCTTCCTCGGAACTCCGAGTCGTTGAAGGAGAACTCGAAGTCGAAGGGATAGTTGGTTCTATGACGTCGGAATATGGAGATCGTGTCCTCTTAGGCGCACTTTCTAGCATATCATCCCAGCCAGATTTTAGCTGAACGCCTTTCCGAGCCAAAGGATCTCGAGACGGAACCTGTTCGAGCATTTCCGTATCGATTGTCAGCTTGCCCTTGCGCTTGGAACTACAAGTATAATTAGAACTAGGTGTTAAATGAAATGAACGAACGACGTACTGAGTCGGGAGAATCGAAGCAGCCTTTCGATCCGATCTCCACTTCTTGAAAGAAGCAAAACTCTGGGCTATCCATCTCGCCGAGTCTCGTGCCTCTTCCCCGAGAGCGATTGACAGGAAGATGTAGACGAACGAAATGACTGGGATCCCCCACCAAGTCAGCTTGAGTCCGAGCGCCTCATCTTGAGTTGTGATAATCTTTATCTCGGTGGAATGTTCGTGAACAGAGTGCCAAGATTTCCAGGGAACAAGCCTGGGTGGCGAGAAGAGAGCAAAGAGATTGACGACAGCGATAACCAAGGTGACACCGATGATAAACGTGACTCGGCGGTAGAACATGCTCGAAGTCATAGAAGAACGTGATGATAAATGGGTGCGGAAGTTGTAGTACGAATGAGAGAAGGCATGAGAAAGTGAGAGACCTGTATGCTGTCGTCAGTGAAATGACGGAACATCGAAAGACATGGGAAGCTTACCGGAAAACAGAAGGGTTACAATTGAAACGAGAAGTGGTGGTATCCATATCATAATCAATGCTGGAGTGGATGGATGAATTGATGCCATAGGGCCGAAATCTTTCATGATGCTGAAACGATGATCCTGAGCGACGAAATCTATGCAAATTAGATTCCTTGAAGGCGCGCGAGTCAGATGAGCTTACATAGGGACATATATAGTATTGGTAGTATGTAGCAAAGCATGATATCGAGCAACATGCGGGCTTTTGCAATACGAGGGTTATCGACGATGGTCCTTTTCGAGGACAGACGTTCCAGATCCAGCGAAATAGCTAGACATGAGGCTGGAAGGGCCAAATTGGCTACCAAAAGGATTCTCGTCACTGCGACGACCGCTTAGCCAGCCTGGAAAAAGTCTCTAGATTCAATAAAACTCACCGATATCGCACCAGACAGGTATGTGCATGTCAACATTGCCAACCCAGACCAAAGAATTGATGCCATGAATGAGATTGCTCGCGATCAGCCATGATATCAGCGATAGATTGACGATGCTAGCGTTGATGCATCGTACGGGTAAAAATACACTGAGTAAGGCTACACAGAGGAAAGAAATGACCGGAAGCTGAGAGAGCATGGTGGCCACAAACGAGAGCGACGGGATGACGGGAAAAGTGCGACGGGGATCCACAATTCGGCTTTCCATAATAAATGCCAGAGAACAAGGCAACAGCAAACCGAAGCTAGATGTGGCGAGTCCGCCGGGTATTGATCATAGGCCACCACTGACAACCACGTCTAATTCTCCTTTAGCTCAAAGACAAGTCCACATCCTATTCGGAAACAAGGTCATTTTGACCCTGCATCCATCGTATTGTCGAGAAAAACTCACAGAACAAACGAGAGAGCTAATCGGGAAGGAAGAACGAGGTTTGTCCCAAAATGGAAATCTGAAGGCTGATCTGACGTGATCTGGCTCTATTTAGGGCCTGGGCTGGAGCTGAACCGATTAAGGTGTGGACATGGTTTCAGCTGTCTGATATATTGGATGCGTACCTCAATGGTATTCGGCCTCAATAAATGAGCTGTTCGAACGTAGAAAAAGGAAAAAATATATGTATATTTGACAAAAGACTGCGTGAACCGGGAATCGAACCCGGGGCGTAGCCAATCCAAATAATGGGAAGACCACATGTTACCATTACACCATTCACGCCTGTGGAGTATTGAGGTCGATTGCTTATAGGTGCAGCAGAATCGGCCCATAGCCCAAGAAAAAGGGATGATCTCTTTGTTCCGGTTCGAAACTAATGGCGTGAGTTGGCCGCTTTCATCTTCATGCTAATATAAATACAATACTAGTCTCATATCGAATATCTGGTAAGTATTCAACGGAAAGATTAAAGAGAAATCAAAGTCGTCGATATACCAATCAATCAAGTTCGTGGCTATGGTCACTGAAGCTAGAGGATATTGATTTCATGGTATCATCGGTAATCTGCCATCATCGTAGATTGTGTCGACTCCCGACGATCAGTATGTGGCTGACTAGTTTGTTGGTAGCAGTGTCACAACAGTGATAGCTATTCAAAGTTCCATTGATTGAACACTTGGCTGTGCGAGAATCAATGGAATAGGGCTGACGTAGACAGACAGATGAATGTGTCAGGCAGTCAACCGCAATATGATAAATCTCAGCACGTAGAACCCATTTTGCAATCCGCTGGTCGGAATCACAGTACTGGACTTGCCACACTTTCAACTTGACCTTCTATCTATCAGACCACCATGAAGACTTTTTCCCTCTCCCATTGTGTCGTAGCGCTGCTCTTCCAGCACGCTATCATCGCTATACCTCTCGCTGTCGATGAACGAAACCTCGAATCCCGGTACATGGATATCTCAATAAACTTGCTCGTCTTCTGACCTTGATTTCCAGTGATTCTTCGTCGTTCGAGAAACGACTCCTCGGGACCAACATCGCCGGCGAAATCATAGCCCAGACACCAGGGCAGGTCATTAATGCTCTCACCGACCCCAGAGTTACAAGCGACCCTGGGACGGGCAGTACAGTTGCCACGAATATCAGACCAGCTGTACAACCGCCGGTGAGGTAGTAGGCTCGTAACCAGCCTCTCTGACGGGGCAAGAGGCAAACCTCTCGTCAGAGGCTTGCCGCTCATGGAGAGTCCGTCACCGGACTACCGGTGAGGCCGATACTTGCCCCCAATACCCCGACAATCAGTCAGGAAACCCGTGATAATCTGGGGTGGAAATTTCCCGATATCCAAGCCCAACACGACCGATTAGGATCCCAGGCGTCACAGAGGGGAACCCCGACCCGGCAGAAACAACAGAATGACTTATGAATTCGGCGGCGGATCTTATCTGTATCTTATCTACTAATTGTGGCGTCGTATTCGAGCTCGTCTGGCTGAAGTTGGGAGACCAAAAGAAGATGTTTACAAGCTGCACCATGAGTATTCTCCTAGCTTAATCCTCAGAAAATGAGCCAAACAAGTGGTCCCAGTCACAGCGCCCTGCTGGCATCATCGCCAAGTTCAGGATTGCGTCGTCTATCCTCCCAGATTTCTCACCCGGTCATTCTCCCCCCATCTCCCCACAAAAGTAGCAGGACAACATGAATCCAACTTCAGAGGTCTGAAAAATCCGGAACCAGGTTGTTCCCCGGTCTCTTCAGCCTCGTCTTGTGCCTGTCTTGTGTTGAACATCGTGAACATTGAAAATTGGTAATTTGAGAGAGCTCCGGTCGATATTTGTCAGTCCTCAACGCCGCTTGGCCTGCCCATGTCAGCCGATAAGATATCGGGTAAGCTACGCGGCCGGCAATCTTCGGGAAGTACCGGGGGGTTCCTGGGATTCCCAAATAAAGATTGATGACTACTGTCCGGAAATCCCTGGGAACAGGGTTCCCAAATAGTTTTATCCTCGAACTTGGAATCACAGCGCCTTATGATGAGCGCTTGATGCGGCAGCACCGCCATCGGTCCGGACTTTGTTTTTCCACATGAAACAATATCGGAAAATTCGGAAGCCAATTTCCCTTGTTCGGACATTTGTTCCGTATCCTGCGTCTGATACATACTCGTTTCCTACGAGCGTTCACGATGCTAGGAGACTTTCAAGATCCTTTCCATGCTGAACCAGCAGCCCTGCTCACTCTGCTTGAGTCCATTACTTATTCTATTCGGCTCGAGATCTTCCGGTTTAATCGATCACACCCAGAGACGGGAGTCGATGAAAAAAAATACTGGGACGGGGACCACGGAACATCATATAGAAATATGTGACATGCTTTCAATATGAGCGCTCTCGATAGCCGACTCTACCGACTCTTGGAGATATGTACATAAAACCCTCAAGTCGCCGTGTTCGTTCTTTACGATTACTTGCTCCCTTCCGTTCTTTCTTCTTCCCTTGTCCTCTTTCACGACAATGATGGCTAAAAATGCCACAGAACATGCTATGAACCATTGGCACTTTGCACCAAATGAAACGACTTCTCGGCGATATGATGGAACATATTCTCGTCCTAGGTCCCTCTTCTCAACAGATTCAACCACCGCCAGGAGCACTCCCGTACCATTTGAGATAGACGGACCAACTAGGATGGCGTCGCCTGTATCGGTGGAGAAAATTCAGGGCCCAAGTTCCAAGAAGAAAGGGACCGCATTCTGGATGATCATCGTCTCCCTGATGATGTCCATATCTCTGTCCGCTATAGAACTCTCTGCCGTGTCGACAGCGATGCCAGATATTGTCAAGGATCTCCATGGGTCTAACTTTGCCTGGGCGGCGACCGCTTACAATTTGGCTTCCACGGCTTTTCTCCCGATGACGGGTGGACTTGCTCAAGTTTGTTTCGCAATTTTGTGTATTTCTGTTTCATTGAGCTCATGTACGTACGCCAGATTTTCGGACGTCGTCCGGTTCTCATATCTTCGCTTCTGCTTTTCACCCTTGGAAGCGTACTTTGTGGCAGTGCACAAAATATGGATTGGCTGATCGCGGCACGAGGTACTGTTCCGAACCCATCATTTATTGAACGTACTGATCCTGTTTCTCAAGTCGTGCAAGGTCTGGGAGGAAGGTGAGCTATATTTAATCCACGTTCGAGTTTCACTCAATCGGTGTCGTAGTGGAATTCTCTCTTTAACGAGTATCATCGTCTCGGATCTCGTTTCCCTTCGAGAAAGAGGGACATACAACGGTATAATCGGATTGGCCTGGGCCTTTTCCATTGCCCTCGGAGTACGGATCTCTCAATGCTTTATTCCTTGGTCCTTATGCCGTATTTAGCCGCTGATAGGTGGCGCACTAGCTACCGCTGGAAAATGGCGATGGGTCTTCTGTGAGTCGGGCCGAATTTCCGCTTGTAGTTTGTCTAACGTAATTCTAGACATGAATCTCCCAATCTGTGCTGTATCAATTGCGCTGGTGATGGTATTCCTTCGTCTTCCAAGGCCTCCGGGGACTCTGAAAGAGAAGCTCATGCAAATGGATTGGATGTGAGTCCTTGTTACCGTATTGAACCTTTTTGTTTCTGACAATTTACAGTGGCAATGCTATTATGGTTGTCAGCAACACTCTGCTGGTCATGGCGATAACATGGGGAGGTGTCGATTTCCCTTGGTCATCATCTCATGTATTGGGAACTTTGATTCCAGGCCTTCTTGGACTGGGATGCTTCTTCTACTATGAAGCCAAGTTTGCCACTTACCCTATCGTAAGTTGCCTCCTGTTTCGATTCGATGTACTTGGTTCATTGTTTACAGATTCCCTTCACATTGCTGTCTAATCGATCGAGTCTGAGCGGGTACATCCAGACTTTTGCCAACTATACCGTTGCCCTGGCAATGATTTGTATGTTTTCTCTTTCTTTCTGTTTGCTGAACTCAATTTCAATGCGAAAGACTATATACCGGTGTACTATCAAGCGTGCAAACTCGCGACACCAGTCCACTGTGGTGCCTTCATTTTATATTCCATCGGTCTGGTTCTCGCTCCAATACTGGTCGTGTCTGGGATCAGTGTTTCAGTCACCAAACGATACCGCCCCCAAGCTTGGTTTGCGTGGATCATCTTTCTCATCGGCTTCGGAACTTTCAGCACGTTGAAAGCAGACAGCCCGGTATCCCATGCTCTCGGATTTTCTACCCTTCTCGGTGCTGCTGTCGGAATACTCGCTGGTATGTCATTCAACTCTTTCTTGGTGCTTTTTACTCATAGGACTCCAGCCGTATTATACTTTCCGGTTCTCGCACCGCTGGACGTGTCTGAAAATGCTCATGCTCTGGCATTCTATGCATGGATACGCTCCTTTGCCGGTGTTTGGGGTGTCTCTATTGGGGCAACGGTCCTCCAGAACGAGCTCAGCAAGCGTCTTCCTGAAGAATTTGTTGCTCGATTCTCAAATGGAGCCCCTGGAGCTGGATTTGTCTATGCTGTGATCCCAGAGATAAAAAACCTGCAGGAACCGTTGAAGAGTCAAGTGCGAGAGGCGTTTGGCGGGAGTCTTTCAGTAATATGGCAAGTTATGATAGGGATTGCGGTAATTGGAGCCATTGCGTCGGGTTTCATGCCGAATCTAGAGCTTCAGAACCAAGTAGATGAACAATGGGCAGTCGAGTCCAAGACGATTGTTAATGAATCAAGCCCGTAGAGACTAATTATTTAGGTACAGGTAATGATATATATTGTGGTTTTGCTTGAATTAAGGCTACCTTTTGGCATCTGAAAAAAAAGAAAGTCGCATCATGATTGAACATTTTCAAGTCCGATCTCAGCAGTTCCCGCCCGCTATATAAGGCCCCATGGAACAAGCGCTACACAAGGATTGCATGGTCGAGTATCATTATTCATCATGCTTCGTCGCTAGCTAGCTTCATCCGTCAAGCTCCTTGAGCCAAACTGTCACGTCAATTCGTGACTAGGTAGATCACACACCATGGGAAACCTGCAAGGACAACAGACTCGTGATCAACCCATCTTCTGCTGGACCCTCACGCTCTCATAATGCCTATTGCTATTGTGACTGGATGCGCTCAAGGAATTGGAAAGGCCATTGCTTTACGACTGGCTGATGACGGCTACGATATCGGTCTCAACGATGTCGTAGGCCAAAAAGATGAAATCGAGAAACTCGAACAAGAGATCTTAAAAAAGGGGCGCCTCAGCAGAATAATATTGGCGGAC